AAATAACTTAATTTTTGATAAAAATAAATCAGAACCAATTTTTAAAAACTTCTTAAAAATTTTAGCAGGCAAATTTGTCTAATAAAATTGATGGTTTAAGAGATAGTCAAACTTCTCTAAAATTATACTGCTAATATCATAGTGACTTTTTTTGAAAATATGCTTATAGAGAGTGTGTACTTATATAGAGGTTTTTTTATATATATTTATAATAGTTAGTTTAAAATAGATATGTTTATAAAGAAAATTTTATATAATATGCTTATATAAAGGGTGACTATAGAGAGGTTTGACTGTATAATTATAAAAACCTTATATTAATATTTAAATTGCTTAAAAATACTATATTTTATATTAATAATTTTAAACCAATTTTGAATAGGTTTGAACAGTTTTGGATAATTTTGGACAGATTTGGATATGTCCAAAACTGTTTAATCAAAATATTTAATTGGATATATCCAATTGACAATACTACTTAAATAAGTAATTCTGTTGTTAGATTACAGATATGGAAGATAGTTTAGAACTTTTAGCATAGCACTAACACTTTGGGTAAACTACTTAAATTAGATACCAAAAGTACAGTATAGCTTGATAAATCTTGTTAAAATATATAGTGTTTAAACTTATCTAATAAATCTTACTGCTAAGAGAGTCACTTTAAAAAAAAAAATATTATACAATTTTATATCTATATTAATTAATATCCAAATTCTAATTATAGTTATAGCCTATGATATTATACAATTCTTTAAAAAATTAACAATTATTTTTTATTTTTTTATTTTTTTTAAACTTTGGCGTATCTTGCCAGGTATTTATTTTAGTAATTAATTCATATGTACAAATGATGCTAGCTAACTAACATATATGGTAAGTGATAAACTCTAAGCCTGTTGGCAAATAGCGTATGAGAACTATTTCTAAACGACAGGTGCCTTTACCGTAGAACTAATGGTTACTGAAACACCTGACCCCACCCGGTTGCTTTACTAAGCCCTAGATGTGATAGCCGCACCACTTAATCATGAAGATGCACCAAACCTCAACCTTGAAGCTGGTAACTAACTTTTTGCTAGGGTACATGTCCCACCCATGTATTTACCCAGGCTTCGGTAACCTACCGCCACAGCTTGACCTATGTACTTGGGGTCAGGGCTAACCATTGAACCCCTTATCTAACTAGTACAAATTATGCCGCCGAACCAAGTTCGTATCTCAAGCCACCCCTAAGGGTACCCAATCCGACAACCATAACCTTCCTAATTAGACCATTACCTACATTTTGCCCTTGTATAGGTTCACAACAACCCTAGTACCTGCAATTAGTCCGTCTTCTTACCCGGATTCTTTATAGGTCCCTCCCTTACTTCCAGCCAGCAACCCGGAAGAGTCGATCTGCCCAGGCTTTAGGTACCTGAAGAACGCTCTCCCCTTAGTACATACTTTCGAAGCGTATTTCCTTTTCCTCCGGTGTGACAGAACCCGGCAGTTCAGCTGGTATGTCCTCCACCATTAGGACCTGGTCATTCAGTTCTCTGATCTCGGGCCCCCAGTTCGAATTCAGCCTTCTTGTAATACTATCGATGATCACTGCTACTTCCTAACTTGGGACTTCCCAAATGGGTTTTCGGTTATGCCGGTTCCTCGGCTTTATTGCGCCATTGCTCCCATTACTAGATGGTGTGACCGAAGTTACAGATTTATCTAAGATCCAACCGATAATCATAACCGTCAACCGTAATGCAAGCCTATTTTTCAAAATTCGTCATCCGTGGGATTTGAACTCTAGATCTGCTACTTGGAGAGGGTGATAACTAGACCACTACACTAAGTCGTCACACTTCTACAAAAATAGTATTTATGATACAAAATAATTATTAATATTACTTATTTTTTCCATTGGTTATAATTTTAATTTCAAAGTAAAATATGTCACATTTTAAAGAGATTGGATGATTCGCTCAAATAATAGCAGCTTTAAAGTCCTTAGAATCTTTAATTAAAAGAGTTTTTAATAAATTTAAAAAGCTATAATATTTTTAAATGCTAATTACAGTATTATGTTTATACAGGATTTTTTATTTCTATATTATCTATATACAGTAAATTACTTTAAATCTACTTGAATATAATTTATTTTTAGTATCCCATACTATTAGTAAAACAATATCATTGAATGAAGTTATTAAGTCTAAATCTCCCATTGCTATAGGGTAAATTTCAATTCAGATCTTGTTAATAAATAAATATACAAAAGTAATTTATGTGTGTTTGTATTCTGAGATCAAATATTTGATCAAAGTAATTACAGACGCATTTATTATATGAGGGTAAGTTAATAGAAAAAAGACAAATTTTTTTTAAATAAAAGTTTTTTTGACTTTAGGCTTAAATATCTTAACAATTATCTTATCAAATTTAATAAATTTTTTTTTATTTTAATTCAGCATGGCAGATATTTGATTTGATTGGCTTAAAGATCTCTGAGTTACACAATATAAAAAAATTTTAAAATAATCCTTACTATGAAAGCCACATCATTAATTGGCAATTCATAGTTTTATAGAATAAATTTTTTTTAAAATGTATTATAGTGTTCTTTAATACTTCGCATATCTTCTGTAAAAAAAAATAGTATAGATTAATATCCCTAAAAACTTTACTTAGAGGCAAATTTAAGCAAGTAATATGTAACAAATATTAATTAGATATTAATAGGTTATATACAATAAACTTATTTTTTTGCTTTTAAACTCAAAAAAAAAGTTGTCTATAACTAACTTTAACCAGGAGTGATTTCACCTAGGTGATATCACCTATATATTTAACTGATTTTAACTGGGAGTAATTTCACCTAGATGATGTAACCTATATATTTAATTTGATAGTCTATCAAATTTATTTATTTTTATTGACTTTTTTTTTACATCTAATCACACTCTCTTTTTTTTATATTTAATCACACTCTCTTTCTTTACATTCAAATATACTTTTTCGAATTTAACTAACTATAATTTTTTAAAACCTAACTACCCAAGTTTATGTGCTATTAATTTACCATGAAGCCCAAAAAGTTCCATTATATTTCGTTAGTTCCTTATTTTGACATGGGCCAAACATCGAATACATCATCGTCGTCATCTAATTTTAATGCCTATAATCATGATCAAATAAATAGCTCATCATCCTCTCAGTTTAACTGAATATCAATGAACAGAATACTACATCTGATTTTCACCACCTTGTTTTAATACATATGAACTTGATAATACAAATGCCTTCTTACCTTATTTTAGCTATGAACATAATATTGCAAACACTTCGTCGTTTTATCCAAATGCCTATGAGCACTATAATAATGTAAATACTTTACCGTCACATTATCCTGGCCCTTATGAATATGATAGTGTTAAGTCAACTTATATTAATATCCAAAGCTTTAGCGATATGTTGGCTGGATCGGATGTTGAGGCTCAATCAGAAGGTGCGAATAATAATATTTATAATAAGAGAGAAGATAATAAGTATGAAGATAATGAGTATGAAGATAATGAGTATGAAGATAATGAGTATGAAGATAGTGAATACGAATATAGTGAAAATGAGGAAGAAGGAAAAAATAATTTATTAGCACTTTATGAAGGAATAAAGTTTAATACATGGAAACTTGCCGAATTATACCTTACCGATTATGCAAAGCAAGAGAGGTTCAGCTTTTGAAAGAGAAGATGGGTTGTTGACTCTCATAACAAGACGGCGAATATATGAATGTTCACATGCTCAGATATGTGAACCTGAAAAGGCTGTTCTGGCAGAAGATAGGAGAGACAGAGATTCTAAAATGATCGATTATCCTTGGTACATTAATTTGGCATTTCCTAAAACAGAAAAAGATGTTCATATTAATAGTATTTTAGGGAAGTACAATCACAAAATGAATATGCTTGTTACTGAGACAACACCAAAATATCAAAAGCTAATATATGAAATATCTGAAAAAGTCAAATTTTTGGACTATTCATGGAAAATTAGGCTTACCAACCCAATATAATTTGTTAGCTGCATTATTTCCAGACCAAGTTATTAATAAGAAGGATTTAAGTAATGCAATTCAACAGTTTAAAAGTCAGGTGAAACCTAGTAAAAATGATATATATAAAATGCTCAATAAATTATATTCAAAAAAAGAAAAAGATCCAATGTGGATAGTTAAACCACGGTTTGATGCAGAGGAAAGGCGACTTAACTCATTGTTCTGAATGGCTCCTGATCAAATTAGTACTTACGGGCAATATCATGATGTTGTAGTCATGAACACAACTTCTAAAACCAACCAGTTTGACATGATATTGATGTTATTCATAGTGGTTGATAACAATTTCAGAAATATGATTGTAGCGTTAGCACTTATTGAGGATGAAACTGAATCAACATTTATCTGGGTTTTGCAAGAGCTAAAAAATTCGTGTGAAATTGCACCTATAGTACTATATTTTGATGCTGATCCTGCTTTACTATCAGCTGTGCGAAAGAACTATTCAAATACATGACATCTCCATTGTATCTTTCATATTGATTTAAATTTAAAAAAGAAGCTTAAAAGTACATTACATAAACAATTCAGCCTTTTTCGTACTAAGTTTTTGGAGATGCGTAACACTTTCTACTATAGAAAATTTGAATCAAAATGGAAAAATCTTATTAATGAATATCCAGCATGTAAAAATTACCTTACGAATATTTTATACCCTGCAAGACGAGTTGGGTGAGTTATGCCATAAATCAATATTTTACCATGGGAATTCAAAGTACCCAGCGAGCCGAAGTAACCAATAAAATTATCAAAGATAAACTCAGTAGAACTTCACGGCTAACAGATATTATTGGAGAAATTCAAACAATATTTGATCAACAATCAAAAAAAGTAGTATTAGCTGAGTGCAAAAATGAAATACCAACAAAAGGTATACTGACTATAATGGAAGAATACTTCCCTGAGTTGGATAAGATGTTGAAAGAACGTCTTATGCCACAAATACTGAGATTAAATGACCCAGTCAATGTGCTATAACACTGTATTAGTTAATAATTGGTTAGCACTTCTAGAGGTAAGAATATTAGATTAAAGTTAGAATTGAAAAGTTTAAACCTATTACTACAATTTTTTTTTTTTTTTGCTTTAAACAATAGATGACTCTTACCAAAAAGAAATGGCTAGAGAAGACGATTATGATTAGCCTCAGTCTTTATTTTCTTCTTTGCTCAAAGATATACCTCAAGAATGTGTTCAAGAAGTTTGAAAAATTACTAGACATAGAAGACAGCAAGCAGATCCGCAATATATTATCATACTCAATGACAACTCACACTTGTACACATGTCTTTGGCTTGTCAATCGTGGTCTCATGTGCAGACATTTCTTTCGGGTTATGTCCTATTCCACTAATGCACGATTTCATATTACACTTATTCCTAAATGCTGGTATAGTAATAGTAAAATTAATGAAGATGAGGCATTTGTGCCAATATATCAAATTAAAAAAATTGAGTCAAATGAGTTACCTCAACCATTATCATTTCAGCACCTTGTGAGGTTTAAGCAAACCTCTAATGTTGTACAGTCACATGGCCCTAAACAAAAATATGGACTTGGTATGGGATATGCCAAAAAGGCACTAGACTTGGCTGTCTGTGCTAATAAAGTTGATGATTTTGTTAATGAGATAGAACATTTTATTGAAAAAACTAAGAAAGATATGTCTGACAAGATGAAAATGTCAATTCAACAAATGTTGAAGATATTAGCATTAAAGATCCATTGCGAGTACAACACAAAGGTCGACAACCTAAAAGATACAAGTCTGGTGGTGAATTACTAAAAAAGACAACTGGAAATAAAAAAGAAGGAAGGCATTGCCAAAAATGTAGGCAAACTGGCCATTATGCTCCACGGTACCCAAATTAAGTAGTGTAACGATATATGTAAGAATGTATTATGATTATAACGAAGTGTAAATGAAGGCAAGTATATTAGAGGTTTAGAGAACATTTAAATATGATATATAGGTTAGTATAGTTAAAATTTAATTGCTTGTCATGCCTTGTCATGCCTACTAGTTTATGAAAATTTTAGATATATTCTATAGTATTACAGTATATGTATTACTGAACTAGGCTTTGACTTTATATTGAAGGTTTGTATATATAATCAAATATAAAAGTTAGTATACTTATCCCTTAAGTTGTAGAGTTCGTGTAACAATTTTAGCTTAAAAATAGCATAAATTTAGTTATGATCTATTTTT